TGCAGCTTTTTGTTGAGATACGAGTATATTAAACGTAATTATGAATTTAAAAGCCCTATTCGTAAAGTTTACAAGCCCTAGTCAGGGGTTCAGTTGTATGGGGGCTAGGTGAAATAATGGATCGATGTTAACCATTTTCAATAGGCTTTGTATCCATTGCCATAGAAGATCATGTGCCAAATTTCATTGAATTATCATCAAAATTGCGACCTGTAGTTTGATTACAACGTAAACAAGCCCTATTCAGGGGTTCAGTTGTATGGGGGCTAGGTGAAATAATGGACCGATGTTAACCATTTTCAATAGGCTTTGTATCCGTTGCCATAGAAGATCATGTGCCAAATTTCATTGAATTATCATCAAAATTGCGACCTGTAGTTTGATTACAACGTTTACAAGCCCTATTCAGGGGTTCAGTTGTATGGGGGCTAGGTGAAATAATGGACTGATGTTAACCATTTTCAATACGCTTTATCTCCGGTACTATAGAAGATCATGTGCCAAATTTATTGAATTATCACCAAAATTGCGATCTGTAGTTTGATTACAAGGTTTACAAGCCCTATTCAGGGGTTCAGTTGTATGGGGGCTAGGTGAAATAATGGACCGATCTTAACCATTTTCAATAGGCTTCCCTGGGACAATAGAAGATCATGTACCAAATTTCATTGTATTATCTTCAAAATTGGACGGACAGACGGACGGACGGACATAGCTAAATCGACTGAGAAAATGATTCTAAGCCGATTGGTATACTTTAAGGTGGGTATAATAGGACCAATATTTTTGTGCGTTACAAACATCAGCACAAACCCAATATACCCTCCCCATTAAAGTGATGTAGGGTATAAATATGTATATATAACAAACTAATAAAAATAAATATCATTGCAGGTATGCATGGTACAATATAAAGTTTTAGACCACTCTTTGCATTACCAGTGTATAAAGCACAAGTTATAAACATACAAACATATATAATTTAGTTTTTAGTTATGAAGTCTCCTTGAAATTTTCTTAACTTGACTTTGTTATTGTTCGTATCTTTTGTACTCTCGTAGACAGACAATCTGATTTAAACAAATTCGCATATGAGACTGTTGTTGTTTTAAATAGCAAATTTGTGAACGGATATGGAAGATTTGCGTTTACTTAAGTATTTGTTTGTAATTATGTATGTACATATATTCAAGTAATAATTTATTATGAATGAATTCAATTAGGAATCATTACTTGAGTTCTGCGAATATTTATAACAGTATAAAGCGAAAAACGTGTTTTCGGAAAAATCTTTTTTACGATCTTATTTAGCTACATGCTTCATATGTTCTTTAAAAATATTCTTGATTGATTTTTGATTAAAATTTGTTTTTTTAAATTAAAAACTTAATTTTTGTAAAATTTTAATATTTGTTGGTGACATGTTTTTCGAGAAACTCAAATTTTGTGAATAAAAATGTTTTATTTTCAAAATGCTCCCAAATTGAAATAAATTCGGAAATAATGTAGGACGGATGTAAAAGACCAAAGGAAAACAATCTTTATATGTATTTTAGATTTATCACTTAGTTCAGGCCTTGTTTAAGCATTTATACCGCTTTGATTCCTGTTGTTTGTCATTAAAAAGGAACAAATAATAAACAACAGCAACAAGAAGCATGACAGCAACAACATTAAAAACAATACTATCACAATGTTGGTCACTTTTTGTAGAAAATTTAAACATTGTCAAATTACAGTAAAAATATTGTAAAAACAACAACAAAAATCTTGCAAAACCCATCAACTAATGGATGGAGTAGTAAAAGTCCGTCTGTCATTACAAAACAATTTATTTAGTCAGGCACAAATATAATCAGCAACCAGCAATGGGCATTTTATTAAATCGAAATAACATTATACTTGTGTTTAAGATCATTAGAGGTTTTGTCTACTGCTATTTAGCATATGAAAAGCAGGTTTACACACAGTACATTGTCCATTGCCCACCACTGCTGTGAACTCATTCGAGATACATACTGGACATAAACCAGATGGAAGACCGAAGTAGTAGAAAACAAAGAAGGTGGAACAATATAAACAAAATTTTATTTTATTTTTGCTTTTTTGTCCTTATTGTTGTAGCATTATGACACAAGGGACCAGAGAATCATATAAAACATAAAACTACAACAATTGCCACATTCATAATTCATTCATGCCACAACAAAACAAATAAATACTCATTGAAACAAACACACATACACTCCCATGCAAAGTCAAACATAATACAAATACATTTTCACATGGACATACCTAGATATAATCGGACAGACAGATAGATAGACATTCATGCACATGAAAAGGTAGAATTATTTGCAAATAAATATAATAAATGTATTTCATACCCCTATATGTAGATACAGTCAGGTGAAATATTGTAGCAGTCTAATGGCAGGAGATATTAAACAGAAAAGGGTTGCTCAAATGTAAAGTTCTGGTCATTAATAATTTGTTAGTGTTCTGTTCATTTATTAAATTGTGGTCACAAGTAATAAAAACCTAAGTTGAAAAATTCTGCTTTTTATAAAGAGAGACAATATAATTTTAAATTTTGTAAAAAAATTAATGGGAATTTTACGTAAGTAGACTTCGGCCTATACCGAAGGTCAATAATCTGTAATGGAGTTTATAGCAAAAGTAGTAATCGTAAGATATTTACCATTAATTTTATTTTAGCACTCTCTATAGTAAAATATTAAACATTTTTGTTGTGTTTATATAAAAATAAATGTTTTTTTTCTATTAAACAATATCTGTCCTTCTGTCAGTTTGTCTCTCTATAATTTTGACATTATTAAAGTCTTTTCCCTCTTATTATGCATAGTTATTCTAATTATTATTGTTTTTTGTTTTGTTTCTTTTTCTTCTCCTTTTTTCTATTAATATCTATAGTTTAATGGATGAGACACATCAATATCTATGTATATAATTGCATTACAAATAGAAATATCAATATTAAAAAATAACAGTAAAACTATGAAAGAATAATGGGAAAAATATAAATAACTATAGTCAGAGAAACAGAGGAAGAGACACATCACTTAAGTCATTATTTAGTTAAATATTCTATAATCAGACTTTGGGTAATTGTGAGTTAAAATGCAAAGCAAAGGTAAAAAAAATAAACTAATAGCAACAACAACACTGCACTAAGGTTAATAACAAAATTACAGTTATGAAAATAGAAGTAAAAAAGTGCAGAAGAGGAAAACTAAAGAATATTATTATTAAAATATTATATAACAATGAATATAGAAACTGAAAATAAAAACCCCATCCAATACCATAAAGCATATAGAGAGTTAAACCCTGCAGTTTTATAGGTAGTTTGAAAGAAGAATCTAAACAGATCTGAAAAAAGCCTTGTTGTGCTTTCCATTCCATAGTCCACGATCTACGCACTGACAAACTACTACACTACCAACTAAACTAAAGGTAACTAATGGCAAATTTTCAATTTGAAAGCTAATGCATTCGTTCATGAACTGCAGGGTATTTTTATAAATTTTTATATTTTTACATAAATATATACTATGTATGTATTTGAACATGGCAATGTACATATTTTTTATGAGAATTTCATTATTATGACAGTACAAGACGTTGAAATGATAAATTGAAAAAACAAGTTTATACAATTAATAAGGAAATTGTTGGCTGTTTGATAGAAAACGTTTGATGTATTTTAATTAGTTTTGTTAAAAGTTCTTAACCACAAGCCACTACACACTTCCAAACAAAGACAACCTTAGAGCATGAATTGTAGGGAACATTTCCCATAGAAATTTAATATTAAACTACTTCCTTTAATTTATTAAAAAAGACAAGTGTAATTGTACTTATAAGTGTAATTGAAAATAAGAAGTATTAGACTGGTCTAGTCTATAGTCTGGTCTATAGTCTAGTCTATAGTCTAGTCTATAGTCTGGTCTATAGTCTAGTCTATAGTCTAGTCTATAGTCTGGTCTATAGTGTAGTCTATAGTCTAGTCTATAGTGTAGTCTATAGTCTAGTCTATAGTCTAGTCTATAGTCTAGTCTATAGTCTAGTCTATAGTCTAGTCTATAGTCTAGTCTATAGTCTGGTCTATAGTCTAGTCTATAGTCTAGTCTATAGTCTGGTCTATAGTGTAGTCTATAGTCTAGTCTATAGTGTAGTCTATAGTCTAGTCTATAGTCTAGTCTATAGTCTAGTCTATATTCTAGTCTATAGTCTAGTCTATAGTCTAGTCTATAGTCTAGTCTATAGTCTAGTCTATAGTCTAGTCTATAGTCTAGTCTATAGTCTAGTCTATAGTCTAGTCTATAGTCTAGTCTATAGTCTAGTCTATAGTCTAGTCTATAGTCTAGTCTATAGTCTAGTCTATAGTCTAGTCTATAGTCTAGTCTATAGTCTAGTCTATAGTCTAGTCTATAGTCTAGTCTATAGTCTAGTCTATAGTCTAGTCTATAGTCTAGTCTATAGTCTAGTCTATAGTCTAGTCTATAGTCTAGTCTATAGTCTAGTCTATAGTCTAGTCTATAGTCTAGTCTATAGTCTAGTCTATAGTCTAGTCTATAGTCTAGTCTATAGTCTAGTCTATAGTCTAGTCTATAGTCTAGTCTATGGTCTAGTCTATAGTCTAGTCTATAGTCTAGTCTATAGTCTAGTCTATAGTCTAGTCTATAGTCTAGTCTATAGTCTAGTCTATAGTCTAGTCTATAGTCTAGTCTATAGTCTAGTCTATAGTCTAGTCTGTAGTCTAGTCTGTAGTCTAGTCTATAGTCAACAACTTTAGTTTAATACTTGATTTGTGCATTTTGCTCAGAATAACATGCGTTCAACCCACAGTGTTTCTAACGATTTTATAGTTGTAATAAATCCAGTATTTTTTTCATAATAATAAAATTAATTATAGCATTATCTAGATATGTATTTAAATACTAATTAATTCCACATTTTTCTTAATTTTTTTGCAGATTTTATATGTGTGAACGTTAATTTTACACCTACGAATCTATATTAAATCTTAATATAATGGAATCAAATCAAAATTATACAAACAATTAAAAAAAAACAAGTTTGAATATACAAGTAATATTCAACCAAGATTGAAGTAAGAGCAGGAGAGGAGAAAATAATGAAAATTTATTAATATGTTGGTCTTTAGACCAACAACTCAACTAAAATTGCCATAAAAAAATTAAATTGTTTTGTAAGTGTAAAAAGCAAAAAAGAAGATAAAAATTTCAATCATAAAATGTCAATAGTCAAGTCAAGCGAAGTTGAAAATTACAAAAAAAGAAGTGTGAAAAATTTCAACAAATAAAAATAAAACAAGTTTATGGTTTATTTTACAAAACGTTACAGAGGCAACAACAGCAACGTTGAATAAAAGTGAAAAATATTTATTAAACAGAAACGTAACGAAACGAGCCAAAACGAAATAATTTAGCCAACAATATGAATTGGATTATTGTGGCCATAGTGCTGCTTATGGCTCACAAAGAGTATATGGCCAGTCCAACGCCACTCAAGTTGCCCGGTAAGTACAATCACCCATATGCAAGTACAAGTATTTAAATTATTTTAGTTTAAATTTCTTTTAAATATTTTTTAATTTTGCTATCAAAGCAACAAGATATTGATGAAAAGACAATTTACGTTTCATATAAAAAGAGATCAATGTTAAATTGTTTTTCGTTTTTGTTTTCAGCTTTTACACAGTTTTCCTAATACAAAAATTTAATTTTAAATTAAACCGGCTTTTTCTCTTATTTAGCTGTTGTCAGTCATACTTTGTGGAATAAGTGGTTTTGACCATAAGTGTGTGGTATGAAATCAAATTATTTATAATATTTTTTTATTTAGCAACAGCAATAAAACAAGATTTTTTTTTGTAAATTTATTTTAATTATTGCTCATATAAGTGAAAATTATCAAAGCAAAACAGCAACACCGGCAAATGAAATATTTTTAGTCAAACGCTGTCATTGAAAACGAAACAAAGACCATTTTTCAATTTTTTTTCGAAACTTTTTGTTGCTAACAATAACAATAATAACGGACTTTTGTAATGCGTAATGCTCACCAAACAGTCTCGCCGCCCTCCCAAACATGGACAAACAAAAAAAATCTCTAAATGGCAAACAATGAAAGTGACTTTACCAAAAAATAAATATGTATATAAAAAAATCCATATAATAATAACAACAAATGAATAAAATATTTAATTCAATTTGTATGTATTGCTTAAAAATACACAAAATTAAAAAAAGTAATCTTCCAACAATGAAATAAACTTGTTATTTTTTTATTGTTTGTGTTGTTCTTATTTTCTCACTGTATCTGTGTGATTTTGTATTTATTTCAGTTTTATAGTTGTATTAGCTGACATTTGCTAATTGTTAAGTATTGCTCTGGTATTATTGTATCTATAGATACAAAATATAACATTTTATTGCATGTAGTACTCAGCTGTATGTACTTTGGATACAGTGTGTGCTACAAGTTTTCGAACAATTCAGATTGAATATTAACTTATGTTGTTTTGATTTTGAAATACTTTAAAAAAAATGTTTTGAATTCTTTAAAAAGCGGGGGAAATACAATTTTCTACTGATTTTCACCAATAATTTGGACGGAGGAAAATGGTTGAAATCTGTCCATTATTTTGGATTGAGTAATTTTATTTTGCCTTAAAAACATTCAAATTTAGTTCAATATTAAAACTTAGAAAAGTTTGTTCGCAAACTTATTTAGTATACTGCAAATGTTATATTTTTGCTACATATTAGGGTGGCTCAAAATATTTTTGTCTTTAATAAAAATTTTTATAAGAAATAAAAATTACAAATAAATAAAATAACAAGTTAGAGTGTTATATTCGGCTATGCCGAATAATACATACCTACCATCAAACCGTGTGCCGTATATAGAATGCTCCCCTATAAACATTAGATTGATATTTGAAAAGGGTTTAGGTCAATTATGGACACATCTCTTTCGGATTAAAAAAATATTAATTTTTAAAAACAAAATATTTTTGTCCAACTTTTAAATTAAATGCGCGGTAGAGTCAATTATATGCCGATATATTTCGGTTCGTATAACATTTTTAGTTCAGTCAGAAGTGTTTATAGTGAATTTCACAGTTGTACTCGGATTTTTATGACAGCGAAAAGCGTTAAATGCGCGGTGGAGTCATTTTTGTAGGGACCGGTCGTCATAAAATACGTTAGACAGATTTTGGCTTGTAAGATACTTACTTATGTCGAATTGTAGCGCTATACTCCTATTTTGAAGCCAGTCATTTTCTGAGGGGGACCTTATATGAAGAATAGAGTCAATTGTGGACCGATCCTCATAAAACTTGGTAGAAAGGATTTAACTTGCTTGTGTCGAATTTCATTTTTATACTCTTATTTTTAAGGTAGTAATGACCGTTACAGTAATTTTCTAAAGAGGACCTTATATGGGGGTAGGGTAAATTATGGACCTATCCTCATAAAGTTCGGTAAAGAGATTTCCATTTTCAATACCAAACAAGCCTTACCTATAGGAAATATTTGTAGAAAATTTCAACTCTCTAGCACTTTCTCTTCGGACTCTATCGTGTTTCAACAAGCAGACGGACGGACAGACAGACATGGATAGATCGTCTCAGAATTAAATAAGGACCCAGAATATATATACTTTTGTGGATTTATGACCAATATTTCGGTGTGTTTCAAACGGAATGATAAAATCAATATACCCCATCTTAATGGTGGGAATAAAAAGGAGCCGGTGTATGTACAGGTCTATATACATACATTAGAGGTGCCCATAAAATAAGAAAAATAATAATTTTAGTAATTAAAATAGTAATTTTATTGTTTAGTGATAGGGGCCAAGGTATATTTCTTCGGATTTGATATATGTTTAACTAAATAAGTTTTAGAGGTGCCCAAAAATCGATATTTTTTGGGCACCTCTAATGTACATAGCACGTATATTATTGTATATATTTCTATTTTTTATTTATAAACAAAAATCTGACTTTGACATGTTTTATTGCAAAAATTTCAGTTATTCATGTTGATTGTTTTTTGTTTTTGTATTTTTTACGGAGAGGAATTAAAAGCAATAACAAAAAAAAGAAGTAAAATTTAAAACTTCATTTGTTGTTGTGTATAATTTGGAAAATAAATTTGAATTTTCAACATTTTAATGAAAATAAAACAAAAAAGAAAGTTTTCATTTATTTTATAAACAAAGTAAATTAAAAAAAAAAACTAAAATAAATTTAAATTTGTATATTTTGTTCCTGTTGTTGTTGTAGTCCTTGCATTATTTATTGACAGTTATTCGGAAAAAACACACACAAAGACATAAAACAAAAATCGAAATATGGCAACCAGAAGTGTTAATTTCCTGTTAGCGTCAGCCATTGTTTTTTTAGTTTTGTTTATACATTAAATTCAACAAACATTTATAAGAATTCATTGGCTGTTATTTGTTTAAATAAAGATTTTAACGGTATTTTTTTTTGTTAGTAAATAAATTTAAAGTTAAATATAACAAATGCTGTTTGCATTGAAAACAGGCTTAAATAATTTTTCACATAACAAATATTTAAAACTGTAAAAATTCGAAAGTTTTGTTGACTAAACTGAGATTTGTTTGTATTTGCAAATTGTATGATTAATGTGAAAAATTAAATTTAAATTTTAATTATTTGCATTAAATTTAAATGTTAACTAGCACAAACAGTATATGTTGATTTATGGTATACGCACAATTGGGACGAACGACGAATTTCGCATAGCACGACGAACTAGTCGACAAAAATTCTTTGCGTAAATACGTCGAATGGAACACAATCAAATTATTCGTACTGCGAATTCGTCTCAAAATTTGTTTGTTCGAAATTGGAAAAAGTAATAAAAAGGAAAAAAAAATTATATAACAGTTTTAAAATTTATTCGAACATTATTTCGAAATTAGAAAATGTAAGAAATTGGCCTCGAAAAGAACTAAATTATATTTTTGTGAATATCCTCAATTTTCAGATAACAGCTTCAAAATTTTTCCGCACATTACTTCGAATTTTCGAACCTAAATTTAAATATTCCAACAAGTGTACTCCAGACTGCCAAATTTCAGACAATTCGGGCCACGAGAAATGGTTTTAATGGCTTTAAAAATTTTTCGAACTTAAGTTTGAATTTTCGAAAATTTTATTTTTAGTTTTTATGACCCAGAGATTATTTTAAGAGCATAAAAAATTTTTCGAACATAACTTCGAATTTTCGAATATAATTTCGAATATTCGAACATAATGTTGTATTGTCATTAGCTGTATTCACAACCGCCAAATTTCAGCAAATTCGGGCTACCGGAATTGGTTTTAAAACAATTTTCCCCAATTAATTCGTCGTTTGTCTGCGTAAGAAATAGAAATAAACCTATCGCATAGTTCGTTATGTACGACGAATTTCGTCATACGCAATGATTGTGTACATTTTCATATACCCAAGTGTGTTCTATTTCTGACGACGAATATTCGTTCCGAAAAAATCGTCGTTCGTCCCAATTGTGCGTATACTATTAAGTACTATTTTAGAAATATCTACATATCGTCACCTTAATATAAGAAAGACGTATCTGACATTTAAATAATTTTTCGTAAGGCAAAGGAAATTTTATTTAAAAACCGATTCCTTGGAATTATACAAGAAAATTAAAATTTACTCTTATTGAAACACAAAAGTTAGATTCATATTTATTATATTAAGATAACGATATGTTTGTTTTCGTTATTATTTAAATTTTATTCTAAATATCTGCTTGATATTAAAAGCTTTAAAATATTTTCATTTAAAGTTAAATAAAATCGAAACTTGTGTACTTTTTCCTTGTTGCCATGGTCTCATAAATATGCAATGAAATTTATAATTAATGGTCTTTTGCTTAATTACGTTAAACACACAAAAAAAGGATTAAATGTGAAATACAACTTAAATTGAAATTTATTTCATTTTATTTAAGAAATAATACAACATAATGACATGCAGTTGAAAATTAAATTATTTGTATTAAATGTATGATAAATTGAGTATTGATTATGTCAGATTAAGAGAAAGAGCGAGAACGTTAGTCAAGAAACGATTTTGTTTATTATTTTAAGTTACTAAAATTAAAATTTAATAATAATTTTATTATTACCTTAACTAAAGTGGCGGTAGCTTTTAATAAAAAAAAATCAATAATCCGCATTGAAATTTCGAAATGAAAAATAATCTCATTCAAGTGTCGTCAGTCAGTTGTCAAAAGGAAAAATATTATAATTTTTGTCTCTTCTCGCTCTACTTGTGTCAAGTATTTTTATTTAGAAGCATTTTTCAGTGTCAAGTATTATTGATTTGCATTTTGAATGTTGTCGTCGTTGGTGTTGTTGTTCTTTGTACTTGTAGCTATTCATCTAAATGTTTTTGTTGTTTCTGTTTTAAGCTAGAATTCATTATCGTGCTGTTTTACGTACACATTTTTACACTTACTCTG